GCTGGTTTAAAAGATCTGAATAGCCCATTTATCTGTGTGTGTGTGTGTGTGTGTGTGGTTTTTAAGTGACTTTTGGGGTGGGGGGGTCCTCCATGGTTCTTGGCTTCAGGATTGTACCGCCCACCCCATCAGCTTTCCCCATTGGTAATGGTTGCTAGGTGTGTGGGGGTGGTGGAATGAAATGGTGGGGGGCAGATTTGAAGGCTTAGTTTCAGGTCTTCATCCCCACCCCCCATTTTACTTTACTTTGATAGTAGAGAGGGAGAGGGCCAGGGCCATCCCCCCAAAGTCTCGTAGATTTGGCAGGCGGATGGAGATTTTCATCCAAAATAACTCATGCATCACACAGCGCCTGCTGGGGTTTCCTTTGAGGGTACAGCGAAGCGGATTGCCTGTTCTCCACTTGGAGCGGAGTGTACGGTTAGCCCCTAAGAAGACTGCAGTTGGAACTGTGCGAGGTCCTCTGTTAGGCATGTTCCACACGTTGCTTCCTTTCAGACAGGACGAGCCAGTTTTACAACTCGGGAATTTCTGGACCCAGAATGGGGTGCACACAGCCAATGCTGTCAGCTCCCCTGGAGCCCCCCCAAAGGCTGGCTCTTCTGTCTCCTTTGTAATTAACTTCCAAACAGAACCAACCGAAGGCACTAAGCCATTTGATGGTGCCAGTAAGGATGGAGAGAGCTAGCATCTGACTTGTGTTCCCTTCTGTGGCCCGGGCTCAAGCTCGGGATGACTTTTGGCTCCAGGGAATGGGGACATACTTTCAATTGGGGCCATGTGGGTTGGGGTGGCAAATGCTCTTGGGGTCCAGGGGATACAGGCCAGGGATACTAATGGGTGTCCTTCAGCACACAGGACATCCCCAACCTCGAGGAAGACCAGGCACACAGTGTCCTGAGTGTGGTGACTGAGGAACTGCACCTGACGGGTGGTCCCGGCCTCAGAGTTGGAAATTGAGATTCAGCGCTATGAACTAAAGGATTTATGTTTGTAAAAACCAGTCTTTGTCTTGGAAAGCAAGTAGCTCCATGCTTAAGTGCTCAGCTGCTAATCGAAAGGTCGGCCCTCAGAATTCCCCGTTGTTTGGGGAGACCCTCCAGCAGTGGCCATGTCAGTCTGTCCTGTAGTGTCGTTACCATCCCAGTCACGTGGGGTTGGGTTTGATGTGGTCCCTGTCTTCCTGAATGAACCTGTGGGCATGGGTTTCCCAGAGACGGGTTTCTCGTAGACATGAATTTGTAGAGCGGTGAGCGTATTCAGAACCATTTCGTTCAGCGGTTCTCAACCCCACCCCACCTATAAAATTATTTTCGTTGCTATTTCATAGCTATAATTTTGCTACTGTGATAAATCGGGAGACCCCTGTGAAAGGGTTGTTTGACCCCCCCAAAGGGGTCACAACCCACTAGTTGAGAACCACTGCCTTTCACAGGGCTCACCTGATTCATAGCAGTAGCAAAATTATAGTGATGAAGTAGCAATGAAAATAATGTTATGGTTGGGGGTTCACCACAACAAGAAGAACTGTATTAAAGGGTCGCAGCCTTAGGGAGTTTGAGAACCACTGATCTAGTTCAACCATGTGTTCTTGAGATTGTTTTTATAGCATCCCTGCTAAGTGGCAATTTACCCCAGTTTAAAGATGGGCCATTTTTCTCTGTTTT